CACCTTCCTTCCTCTTTCCTTCCTCTTACTCTCCTTCCTTCCTCTTTTCTCTCCTTCCTTCCTTCCTTCCTTCCTTCCTTCCTCTTTTCTCACCTTCCTTCCTCTTTCCTTCCTCTTACTCTCCTTCCTTCCTCTTTTCTCTCCTTCCTTCCTTCCTTCCTGCCTTCCTCTTGTCCCTCCTTCTCTCCTCCCACCTGCCCTCTCTTATTTATTATCCTTGCAAGTGCTTGTTCTGTTGCACCTTTGCGGGGGGGGGGGCACAATCCTGTCAAGTTTAACGAGAAGGGAACGCTGACTTTGGCTGCGTTCGTGAGGCCCCATTTTTTTCTGGAACTTAAACTCCAGAATTGCGGGATCGATCCCCAGTTCGAACTGGATGTCGTTTCCAGATTTCCCAATCCACGGGGCACAGGATGTGTGTGTGTGTGTGTGTGTGTGTATTGGGGGGGGGGAGATCTCTCTTCTTGGGGAGGGCTGCATTCGTGAGATGCTTAGTTTCTCCTCCTTCCAAAGCCACTGAATTCCTCTGTGCAGCTTTGCAGGCTGGGGTGGGGAATGGGAGTGGGGGGGTCTGGGACAGCTCATCCTCCTTCCTGTCAGGAGCAAAGAGCAGGTTGATTCGGGTGCGAGCAGCTGGTGCTGCATCACCCTTCTCTTCCTTGAAAGGGGATAATTATTGACGGTGAGGGCCTGGTGCAAAGGAGGAGGAATTGTGGGGCGGCTCAGCTGAGGAGAGGGCAGAGTCCAGCTGGGAAAATAATATATGCTTTCAACTTGAGAAGTCAGCTCCTTTTCAGCTCTCCGAAGCACCGAGCAGAGATGGAGACTGGATGTGGGTGCTGGTGCCAGCGAGAGAATGGGGTGGGGTGGGGGAATGGAGGAAGAGCGATCAGTGGCAAATCCACGAGTAAAAATGGGCTCATATTTCCTGTGCAAAGCACAAGTCTTTTCAGCAGGGCCAGGAAAGTTGCACACCTTATTTGCACTCTGATTCAGGTGCCCCTGAGGGCACAGATAAACCTCCAAGTGGCCTCAAGGGCTCCCAGGAAGAATGCAAGTGACCAGCTGTCTGCAAGGCATAATATAAATCCTTGAATAGAAATATACAAGAATACAAATCCTTCCCTCTTCCACCCTTCTTGGGTGGGAAGCGAAACCCCTTCAGGCAAAAAAACAAAGTCTGGTGGCCTTTTGTAAAAAGCACCATTGGAGCAACCACGGCTTGGATGAGTGAGAATCCAATCCTAGAGAAATGGAAGTTTGCTTCCGAAGAAGAGGATGGAATTGGGGCCGTTTGGAGGCCTTTGCGTACCCCGCTCAATCCTGATACGGCAAAATCTTAAGTTTTGGGGGCCCTGGTGAGTCCCGGTTCCATGTTGTGCTTTCTGAATGGATTCACCTCACACACAAAAGGGGCCTGGGAAGTAGGTGGGTCAGTTGTGTGGCGGGAATCAAAGCCACTATATTAAGGATGGACATCGGGCAGAACCACAAAAAAACAGACCTTCGCAGTGGTGGCTCCATTTCTATTTCTGTGTTATGGTTAACTCCCCACTCTGTTGCTTTTCCGAAAAATGTGTTTATGTCAAAGGGGTGTGTGTGTGTCAGGGACCCCAAATGGAGACAGAACTGGTCAAGAGCCTGTATTCATTTATGCCTCCTTTTCCCCCTTGTTGGCACATAAAAATAGATTTTTGGCAGCACCGCTCCAGCCGCTGCCTTGAGTTTCCTTTCGACACCCCGGTTCTCTTGGGAAATCTTCCCTTGCGGACATCAGTCCTGGAGCCAGCTGGCTGTGGAGAGAATTGCTGGGTGCCCCCCCACCCTGTTGGCCCATGCCAGTCGGTTGGCACTGCCTGGATTGCGTGACGCTCAGCTGTTCTTTGTCGGGTGGAGGGCACAGATGGGCCCCGCAGGTTTTAACACCATAATCAGGCAAATTGCACCCCTCGCTGAAGTGTGATAACGGGCTGTTTTTAAAAGTGGCACTGCGAGAAAGGAGGTGGGCCCAGCAGCCTTTTAAATACGGGTTGTGGAGTCGCTGAAATTACAGCTGTTGGCTTCCGAAAGAGCATGCTCAGCTTCTCTCCGCTCTGTCCCAGGGCCCTTCCCAGTGTGGCTTCTTTGGAGCATGATATTGAAATGGTTGCAGAGTCTTTCCTTCTTTCCTTTTTTTCTCCCCTCCCTTTTTTCTTCCTTCCTTCCTTTCCTTCTTTCTCTTTTTCTTTCTTTCCTTTTCCCTTCCCTCCCTTTTTTCTTCCTTCCTTTCTTTTTTCTTTGTTTCTTTTTCTTTCTTTTTTCCTTCCCTCCCTTTTTTCTTCCTTCCTTCCTCCCTTCCTTTCTTTTTCTTTCTTTCTTTTTCCCTTCCCTTCCTTCCTTTCTTTCTTTCTTAGCACCCCACCCGGTTTTGGCCTAGCATGCCTCATGGAAGCCTCCTTCCTTCCTTCCTTCCTTCCTTCCTTTCTTTTTCTTTTTTCCTTCCCTCCATTTTTCCTTCCTTCCTTTCTTTTTCCCTTGCCTCCCTTTTTTCTTTCTTTCTTCCTTCCTTCCTTTCCTTCTTTCTCTTTTTCTTTCTTTCTTTTTCCCTTCCCTCCCTTTTTCCTTCCTTCCTTCCTTTCTTTTTCTTTCTTTTTTCCTTCACTCCCTTTTTCCTTCCTTCCTTTCTTTCCTTCTCTTTTTCTTTCTTTTTCCCATCCCTCCATTTTTCCTTCCNGACAAGAGGAACTGATGTAATTACTATTTAATACTATAGGATACTGGCTATGTATAGTATACATGTGATAGTATGTTATGAAAACGGAAAATAAAAAAGTATATTAAAAAAAAAAAGAGGGATGGACTTCAACTCCCGGAATTCTCTGCTGGCTGGGGAATTCTGGGAGTTGAAGTCTTCCCCTTCTTAAAGTTGCCATGGTTTTATTCCAGAATCGAAAGTTGTTCTGGAGGACACTTAAATGCTCCTATGCCAGGGGTCCCCAAACTTGGCAACTTAAAAGACTTGTGGGCTTCAACTCCCTGGCTGGAGAATTCTGGGAGTTGAAGTCCATAAGTCTTCAAGTGGCCAAGTTTGAAGACCTCAGCCTACGATGCGTGCTTTCTTTGTTTGCCCCATTGTCACGGAGTTCACTTATTTCTATATGCTGCCACCATTACTACGGATTGTTTTAATTTTCTGGATTTATTGCACGCCGCTGCAAGCTGAAAGAAGTCCTTGGAACTAAATCACCGTATAGGTGTAATAAATACAATTCACCCAACAGGAGTGCTCTTTTTACAGCTGGTTTTTTTTTTTAAATCTCGTGGAATTGAGGTTGAGGATAAATAATCACAGTCAACTTCCTGTCCTTTTTGGTGCCTTTGGGAAACCTGTTTATTTATCTTGGCAGATGACACAACGACCCAGAATCACACAATTTGCCCTTTGTTTTGAGTCAATAGCGAGGGGGAAGGTCCTGTGCTTCCTGAGGACAGGGTTTACCTGGGGACACCTTGCAGGGATCCATATGTTTTTAAGAAAAAGATGAATGGGATTTTGTGCGGCCATTTGGTGCCTGTGAAAGTTGGGATAAAGGAGGGGGGCTTTTGTAGTTCCTTCTGCTTCAACAGCCCAAATTCATAGAGGTAGTTGCAAAGAAGCGGGGCTCCTGGGAAGTCGGGNAATTTGCTAAAAATCTGTAAACCGCTTAGAGAGGGCTGAAAGCTCTATGAAGCAGTATATAAGTCAAATAAATAAATAAATAAATAAATAAATAACCACAATGAATTGCTCTGTGTATTTTCCCCCCCAGGAGTCTTCAAGCATGCTTGCCAAAGAGAAGCTTTGACCTAGAACATGGCTTGTTCCTGGCGGCCTCCAGTTTCCCTTGAAAAGGAAGTTTGAGACCTTCTCTAGCTCCATTGCGGCCCCTTCGCGAGAACCATGGAGGTGGTGGATGTCCCCGTGGGAAATCTCATCGACTTTGACTCTGAGCCGTCTACCACGGACACCTCCGAGTCGGTCCCCACCGCTCCCTCCACCGCCAACGGCCACGCAGGGCTGGATCTCCGCGAGGGGGCCCCCGTGGCCGAGGAGAGCGATGCCACCGAGTCGGCCGACAGTGAGAACGACACAACCGGCTCGCCCAGCCACCCGAGCTGGAATAACCACCGACGCTCTTCCTCGGAGTCCTACTCGTCCAACCACAGCACGGAGTCCACCCGGGGGGGAGTAGCAGCTGAAAACCGGGACTTCGTCAGCCAATATGTGGAGAAGATCTTCACCGGTGGGTGAGTGTTGCGGGAGCCCCCCATGGGGACCCTGGAAAGGGGGGGGGCGAGGGGTGAGGGGAGGCCTAAAATTGCAAACTCCTCTCTGCAGATTCTGACACAGGTAGTCCTCGACCTATGGCCAAAATTTCGGTTGCTAAGTGAGACCATTGTTAAGGGAACTTTGCCCCGTTTTTATGACATTTCTCGCTTTTCTTTGGACACGGTCCAAAGTGTTAATTTAGCACCACACTTGTTAAGGTGAACCTGGCTTCCCCATTGACTTTGCTTGTCGGAATGACACAAAACAGGGACACTGCAACCGTCGTAAATATGAGCCGGTTGCCAAGCATCTGAATTTTGATCACGTGACCTTGGGGGGGGGATGCCGGCTGGGGAATTCTGGGAGTTGAAGTCCGCCAGGCTTAAAGTTGCCAAGGATGGAGACCCCCCCTGAGTTGGATGACTGAGAATCTCCTGGTCCTTCCTTCCTGACGATTCGGGAGCCAATGGAAGAGGNCCCTCCATTTTTCCTTCCTTCCTTTCTTTTTCCCTTGCCTCCCTTTTTTCTTTCTTTCTTCCTTCCTTCCTTTCCTTCTTTCTCTTTTTCTTTCTTTCTTTTTCCCTTCCCTCCCTTTTTCCTTCCTTCCTTCCTTTCTTTTTCTTTCTTTTTTCCTTCACTCCCTTTTTCCTTCCTTCCTTTCTTTCCTTCTCTTTTTCTTTCTTTTTCCCATCCCTCCATTTTTCCTTCCCTCCTTCCTTCCTTCCTTCCTTCCTTCCTTCCTTCCTTCCTTCCTTCCTTCCTTTCTTAGCACCCCACCCAGTTTTGGCCTAGCATGCCTCAGGGAAGCTTCCTTCCTTCCTTCCTTCCTTCCTTCCTTCCTTCCTTCCTTCCTTCCTTCCTTAGCACCCCACTCAGTTTCTGCCTAGCATGCCTCAGGGAAGTCTCCTGGGAGCAAAACTGGATCCCAAATGCTAAAAAAAAAGTAAAAAAAAAACAGTTTCTACCATTGCGCAGCACAGCTGATCGTTGCAACTTTTTTTTTTTTAACTTTGCTAATCATTTTTTACTACCGGTTGGGGCGAAGCATCCCAAACCAGTAGGATTCCACCCATGCTTTTATGGCTCCCGAAGGCTTCCCTGGTGTCGAAGCAAGCAAGGCAGCCAAGAAGCATCTCCAGGAGCTGTCCGGGGAACTCCAAAGCATCTGGAGCATCTCTTCATTTCAAGCTCCGTTTGATCTTCTCCCTCCGGAGGGTCGATTGGCGTCGACGTGTCTGGATTCCGATTTGGAAGTTGTTGGATATGAACTGGAAAGGAAGCTTTTAAAACGGGGGAAGTTTCCAGCTGCCAGCAGCTCCCGAATGCTGGCCTTGCCCTTAAGAGCCTCTGCATAGGTTCTGGGGAAAGGCACCAAAACCATAGAATTAAAAAGGAGAAACAAAATCAAGAAGAAAAAATATAGAAATTACAAGAAAAAGAAAAAGCTAGGCGAATGGGTGGAGAGGAGCGAATATAAGAGGAGTTCCTGAGAGACTAAGAGAAAACGGTTGAAAGTAGGAAAGAAGGAAAAGGATTTACCAGTGGAATAGAATGAAATACGAAATAAATACAGCCAATGGTACATAGCTCATACGATGTGGGGGAAATAGATTAATACTATTAATTTTGGATAATTAACTAAGTGAGATGGGTACTATATAAAGTTAAATTTGAGGATATGTGTTATTGATAGTAAAACAGAATAATAGATGGAAACGATACGTTAAATCCGATTAACTTGGAGAGGCACATAATGATATTGTCAACAAGGGGAAATATTTTCATACGTAAGAGAAATGCTAAATATCCTTTTCTCCAGCTCGTTCATACACTGACTTTGTTGTTGTTAGTTGCGAAGTCATGTCCGACCCATCACAACCCCATGGACAACGTTCCTCCAGGCCTTCCTGTCCTCTACCATCCTCTGGAGTCCATTGAAGCTCACGTCGGCTGCTTCAATGACTCCATCCAGCCACCTCGTTCTCTGTCATCCCCTTCTTCTTTTGCCCTCAATCGTTCCCAGCATTAGAGACTCTTCTCCAGGGAGTCCTTCCTTCTCATTAGGTGGCCAAAGTATTTGACTTTCATCTTCAGGATCTGGTCTTCTAAAGGGTACTCAGGGTTGATCTCCTCTAGGACTGACCAGTTTGATCGCCTTGCAGTTCAAGAGACTCGCAATAGTCTTCTCCAGCACCATAGTTTAAAGGCCTCAATTCTTTGGCATTCAGCCTTTCTTATGGTCCAACTTTTACATACATTGCAACTGGGAAAACCATAGAAGAAATTCAAGTGAAGCTGGAAAAGTTGGAAAGGAAATAAGGCGGCTGAAACATGAAATGGAAATCTGGTGTAAAATGAACTATGCACAGCGGAAGATGTGAAGGGGGGAAACCTGAACCACACTTTGTTTATAAAACAAGTTAAAATATGGAACAAAAAAATAAAAAAACCTTTGTTTAAAAAAAAAAAAGAACCTCTGCATAGGAAGTCCTCGACATATAACCGTTGCAGAGTCCCGTGATTCCCCTTTTGCCACCTTCTGACAAGCAAAGTCATTGGGGAAGTCAGATTTGCTTAATGACGACTGTTACCGCCTTAACAACTGCAGTGATTCACTTAATAAGTGGGAAAGGTCGTAAAGCGGGGCTAAACACACCTGTCTTGCTTAGCAGCAGAAGTTTTGGGCTCAATTGTGGTTGCAGGTCAAGGACCACCCAGAAATATCCGTAGGGTTTAAATCAGGGGTGTTTTAAACTTGGGAATTTTTAAGACTGGTGGACTTCAACTCCCAGGGCTGGCTGGGGAATTCTGGGAGTTGAAGTCCACAAGTCTTAAAAGTTCCCAAGTTTGAATTTTAATGATTAAGGAGCCGAGGTGGCGCAGTGGTTAGGGTGCAGTACTGCAGGCCACTTCAGCTGACAGTTATCTGCAGTTCGGCGGTTCAAATCTCACCAGGCTCAAGGTTGACTCAGCCTTCCATCCTTCCGAGGTGGGTGAAATGAGGACCCAGGCCACTTCAGCTGACTGTTATCTGCAGTTCAGCGGTTCTAATCTCACCGGCTCAAAGGTTGACTCAGCCTTCCATCCTTCCGAGGTGGGTGAAATGACCCAGACTGTGGGGGAAATTTGCTGACTCAATTTGCTAAAAATCTGTAAACCGCTTAGAGAGGGCTGAAAGCNAAAAAAGAAGAGGGGCGTCAACCTATTTTCCAAGGCACCTGAAGGCAGAAGAAGAGGCAACGGACAGCAGACAGGAAGGGGCCGGTTTGCAGCCTGGAAGCAGATATTTCTTTCTTTCTTTTTTAATTTTTAAATTTTAAAACACCTAAAACACATCGACAAAAGCATATACATAACTTACAAACCACACCGGAAATGCACATTCCTTCTTACAGCAGATACCTATCGGTGCATCTTTACAGTTATTGTTTCCCCTACTATACATTCTAATTTTACATTTGTGATCATTTTGCTTCTTACTCCTTTACTTACTTGTTTACGTTTAGTTATTTGTATCGGATGTTAATATTACCCTTGTTCAATTGTACGTCTTTTCCTACTTTTGCATATCCTACTTTCCCAGCTTCCTTTTATCGCTGTTTCCAAGTTCTCCTACAAAGCATTTTACATTTCCCAATTTCTTATTTCTATCATTTAACCATTTGTACCATTTTCCCCAAACTAAATAGTCCTCTGATTCCTCCTTTTCTTGAATTTCCTTAGTCAATTGGTCCATCTCTGCGCATTCTAAGATCTTCCGTATTTCCTTGCCTTCGTTCAGTGTTGTGTTGCTCTTCCATTTCTCTGCGAATGTTGTTCTGGCCGCAGTAACAATTTGTAGGGAGCAGATGTCTCTATTTATGGGCACGCCAGGTGTGTGATTGTGATGGTGTGTGTGTGTGTGATTTCAGAGAGGAGTTTGACCAAGAGGAACAAGCCAGATTCGGGGAGCTGTGCAGCGGCGAGAACGCCAAAGGCAGAGAATGGTTCGCCAGATACGTCAGCGCCCAGGTAAGGAAGCATTCGGGATCAAACGGCTTTGCTACATCTGGAATCCTGTAGATCTCGGGGAACGTGCCTGGATTGCCGCTGGAAGGCCTCGTGCAATTCCAGCCTGCTTCAGAACTTCTTTTTAGGGTGGTTAAGCCTCTGTGTGAACCTCCATGGAAAAGGACAGTCTACCATCTGGGCATCCCTAACTCCTCCCGTTGTTGGTTCCTTCACAGCGTTGCAATTCCAAGTGTGTCTCCGAGCAGACTTTCTACCGCCTGGTGCAGTCCTTTGCCGTTGTGTTGTTCGAGTGAGTAATGCCAGTCATCTCGGGTCTCTGTGTGTGTGTCTGTGTGTTTCAACAGGGCTTAATTCAGTGGGCTTTCAGCCCAGCCAGAGCCACCCGTGTCGGTGGTGCCTGTGGTCGCCCGAGCGCTCTGCCAGCGCAAACGAGATCCCCAGCTCCGTTTTAGGCTGCCGCAACCTCCTGCAAGCCTCTGCGGGTGAAAAGGGAGCTCATGTGTGGCCCTCCCAAGCTCCATTTTAACTAGCAGAGGGTTGCAGGAGGCCGAGGCAGCCGAAAACGGAGCTCGGGTGTCCATTTCAGTTGGCAGAAGCACCTCGGGCCGATTCTCTGCTGTTTCCAGTGTGGTCCCATGGGCCAGAACTAAGTATCCTGTGGTCCGGATTCGGCCCCCTGGCTTTGAGTTTGACACCCCAGTTCTAAGCATTCCATTTCTCTCTCTCTCTTTCTCTCTCTCTCCCTCCCTCTTTCTTTCTCTCTCCCTCTCTCCACCCCATCCCCCTCTCTCCCCCTCCCTCTCTCTCTCTCTCTCCCTCCCTCCCTCTNTCCTTCTTCCCTTTCTCATTCTTCCTCCTGGTGGTGCAGTGGTTAGAATGCAGTATTGCAGGCTAACTCTGCCCACAGCTTGGAGTTCCATCCTGATGGGCTCAAGTTTGACACAGTCTTCCATCCTTCCGAGGTTTATAAGATGAGGACTCATATTGTTGAGGGCAATATCTGATTTTGTAAACTGTTTAGAGAGGGCTGTGAAGCACTGTGAAGCAGTATATAAGTACTATTCCTTCCTTCCTTCCTTCCTTCCTTCCTTCCTTCCTTCCTTCCTTCCTTCTTCCCGTTCTCATTCTTCCTCTTGGTGGTGCAGTGGTTAGAATGCAGTATTGCAGGCTAACTCTTCCCAGAGTCTGGAGTTCGATCCTGATGGGCTCAAGGTTGACTCAGCCTTCCGTCCTTCCGAGGTTGGTAAGAGAAGGACTCAGATTGTTGGGGGCAATATGCCAAGATTCTAAATCACTTAGAAAGGTTTGTATATAAGGGAGGGAGACAGAGAGAGACAGAGACACAGAGACGGAGAGAGAAGGAAAGAGAGAGAGAGAGAAAGAAAGAGAGACCAACAGAGAGAGAGGGTGGGTAGGGAGGGAAGGAGGGAGGGAGGACAGAGAGAGACAGAGACACAGAGATGGAGAGAGAAGGAAAGAGAGAGAGAGAGAAAGAAAGAAAGAAAGAGAGAGAGAGAGAAAGAGAGAGAGAGAGAGAGAGACCAACAGAGAGAGTGGGGAGGGAGGGAGGGAGGATGACAGAGAGAGACAGAGACACGGAGACAGAGAAGGAAAGGGAGAGTGAGAGGAGAAAGAGAGACCAGAGAGAGAGAGAGAGAGAGAGAGAGAGAGAGAGAAATATAGACAGACAGACAGACAGAGACAGAGAGACAGAGAGAGAGGAAGACAGAGACACAGAGACAGAGAGAGAAGAAAAGAGAAAGGGAGAGAGAGAAGAGAGACAGAGAGAGAGAGAGGAAGACAGAATGACAGAGAAAGAGAGAGAAAAACCCAAACCCCCAAGGAGTGTCACAATTCTTTTGAGGAATCCTTTAAAGTTACATGTTGTCCCCTCCACAATCCTTCTCTGTGTACATAATAAAACGTTGAATGTAGCACAGAGACAAATTTAATTAGGGCACATTTATCTGGGCCAGTCTGTAGTATTGAATGTCAGACTTCATAATGCCTTAAGTGCTATGTTCAAAAGCAAATAAAATAACTTCCCAAATGTTCTGTGTGTAACAAAGCCTCTTTTTTTCTAGGAAAGGAATTGTACTCATTTACAAAACAATCTGCGAGTAGCATCTACCAGATAGTAATGCAAAAAAATGGTAAATCTAAAATGTGTGAGAAAAGTTACTGGTTTTTTTCCCCCCACTGGAGATACAATGGGATCTTTCCATAAGCAAAGTGTGTGTTTCTTCAATCACAACTATTCATCCTGGATGTATCTCAGGCATTACAGCAGTGGCCAAAATTGTGGCAACCTTTTTGGTAAAAGTGTATTTTGGAGGTTTGATGGCTAAAACCACCACTTCTGTTTGGGAGTACATATAAATGGAAAGATAATTTAATCAAGAATATAATGCAACCAAGTTTGTTCAATTATCTGTATTCTATGAAAAGTTATAGATTGGAAACCACCCAACAATAAAACCCACTTAATAGAAGCAATCCTTCAATCTTGGTTTCACATTATAAAAGCTGTAGAATTAAAAGACTTGGTTCACTCCCTGGGAAGTCATTGTAAAACCGTAATTCATACTAAAGGTTATCCAACTAAGTATTAACTGACATGGTGATAATTTTTGTATATCATATTTTATCTACATGTTTCCCTTTTCTTCTTTATAACTGCTAATCTAATAGCAAATCCTTCATACAAGTTATTCCATTACATTCTTGATTAAATTATCTTTCCATTGATATCTAATTTTATGGTCCTACTGCAATAAAAAGTTAGCCATCGCCTCAAAAATGCACTTTCCCCCCCAAAATGTTTCCACAATTTTGACTACTACTGTAGTAGCACATTTTCAATACGATACAATACAATAGCAGAGTTGGAAGGGACCTTGGAGGTCTTCTAGTCCAACCCCCTGCCTAGGCAGGAAACCCTATACCTTTTCAGACAAATGGCTATCCAGCATCTTCTTAAAGCAGTGTTTCTCAACCTTGGCAACTTGAAGATGTCTGGACTTCAACTCCCAGAATTCCCCAGCCAGCANTTATAAAGTGGTATTAACCCTTTACGTGATCTTGATTCTATCAAGGTTCCATTTTTTCCCCAGATAAGGTGATCGTGGTACCGCAACTCTCACAAGATACCACAACCATCGTACTGTAGGAAGTTAGCACCAACCCCTGCCTAGGAAAATGAAATATTTTAGGAAATTGTTGTGAAATCTCTTGAAAGACTGTTGGCCGGGACTTTGCTGGAGATGAATTCCCTTTAACCTAAATAAAAGAGGTTTTATGGGGATGAAGTGTCGGCTTCGTGCTTTTGGGAAGCCTAGATCAGAACAGGTAGCATTCTACACTGTTCTACCAGTTCTTACTATCATCTTACTTGTCTGAAGAAGCCAGAGCAACATAGATCATCCCTCTCTCTCTCTCCCCCTCCCCGCGTCCTGTGCTTGAATGCTGTTAACCTCCGAAGCATTCTTCTAAACATAATCCATCTTCCTGGGAAGTGCGCATATTGAGTGTCCCCAAATGTGTCACTTGGCAACTGGAAAAGGAAGAGCAAAGGCAACATTTGTTGAAAAGCATCCCAAGGACACTAGGAGCAGCCGAAAGAAGCATGCGCCTATCATCAGCAGAAGTATATCGGGGCTCAGAAGGGATGGAGATGGAGCCACACCTCACATCAACAGCAGTTGAGATGAAGCCTTGAGTTGAAATGAGAGAAATGGGGATTCTCAAGCTACAGAAAAAGCCAACACCCTTGCAACCACCTTCAAATCAGGGCAGGAATGGTTTTAATTCTGCAGGCTTAGCGATCAAAGTGCAGTATTGCAAGCTAACTCTGCCCACAGCTTGGAGTTCCATCCTGATGGGCTCAAGGTTGACTCAGTCTTCCATCCTTCCGAGGTTGATAAGATGAGGACTCAGATTGTTGAGGGCAATATCTGATTTTGTAAACTGCTTAGAGAGGGCTGTGAAGCACTGTGAAGCAGTATATAAGTACTATCCCTTCCTTCCTTCCTTCCTTCCTTCCTTCCTTCCTTCCTTCCTTCCTTCCTTCCTTCCTTCCTTCCTTCTTCCC